AAAAAAAAAAAAAAAAAAATTAATCTTGTGCAAAACTGGGTTTTTGTTAGCCCACGTCCACTCAAGGATTTCATAGAGGAGATGGTGACTGAGCTGAGCCCAGGGCCCAGTGGTGGGGGTGCACACAGCATATGTAGGAGTCCCAGAGCCCCCAACAACAGCTGCCTACTCACTACCCTCATGATCTGTGGCATGCCATGCCAGCACTCAGTTACTATTTTTCTTAAGGATTAATCTCTTTTTAAAGCTTAAACAAATGTAACTGACAAAGAAAAACTGACAAGACACATAAATCCTAGGCCACTGTGATACATCCACTGCCACCAAGACTAAGGAGACAGTCCAACCCCTGCTCCAGACACCAACAGGCAGTACTGCTCACTATTAACCAGTCAGAGGAGGTCCCAGACCTGGGAACTTTACAGCATTCCAGATGACGACAGTGTTATCCACACTGCACGAGGCTAGCCAGGCATCATGGGGAGACCATGCTACATCCATCACATCTGAAAGAAGACAGAGGGTTCTGGTGAGATCTCTTACCTGGAAATGCTCTTGTCTATTAGCTGGGCCAGTGCCCCTGGGACCTGGGATCATCATAACCAGTCTGGTATTTTTCAACCAACCTGAAAAAACTCCCCCCAAAATTTTTCAATTGGGCATAAATTTAAAGCATCTGACTCCAGTGCCCCACTCCTTTTACAGATGAAGCAACTGGGGGCACAGTTCAGAGTCTGGGCACCATATGGCACCTCACCCATGCATGAGAGCCTGCTAATTCATGGGTCTGTGGTCTGGAGTATGCTCCTCAGCCCTGCTGACTTGCTTTGCCAATCATAATGGGGCCTTCCTCTGAGAGCTTTTTGAGCATGAGACACAGTGGGTAAAGCACCTGGCAGAATGCCTGGCTAGTCAGAGCTCCAGGGCTGCTGACACCTAATGCAGGTCATCTTGAGGCCCTTGTCTGGTTCATGGACAGGGTCTCATCTCCCAGACCCTGACAGGAACACCTCTTTGCTACAGAGCCTCCAAACAGAATTAATCACATTCACTTCTTTGTGGCTCTGTTTTATCGTTTGTCAAGTGCAGATTAAAAAACAAAATCGGCCAGGCGCAGTGGCTCATGCCTGTAATCCCAGCACTTTGGGAGGCTGAGGCGGGCAGATCACGAGGTCAAGAGATCGAGACCATCCTGGCCAACATGGTGAAACCCCGTGTCTACTAAGAATACAAAAAAATTAGCTGGACGTGGTGGCACGCACCTGTAGTCCCAGTTACTGGGGAGGCTGAGGCAGAAGAATTGCTTGAACCCGGGAGGCGGAGGTTGCAGTGAGCCGAGGTTGCGCCACTGCACTCCAGCCTGGCACCTGGTGACGGAGTGAGACTCTGTCTCAAAAAAAAAAAAAAAATCTAGGCCAGGTGCAGTGGCTCACGCATGTAATCCCAGCATTTTAGGAGGCTGAAGTGGGCAGATCACTTGAGCCCAGAAGTACAATACCAGCCTAAGCAATATGGCAAAACCCCATCTCTACCAAAAAAAACAAAAAAATTGTCTGGGCATGGTAGCACATGCCTGTATCCCCAGCTACACCAGAGGTTGAGGTGGGAGGATCACTTGAGCCTAGGGAAGTCAAGGCTGCAGTAAGTCATGATTGTGCCACTGCACTCCAGGCCGGGTGACAGAGTAAGACCCTGTCTCAAAATACAAACAAACCAAACAAAAACCCCCAAAACCTATCCTCATAGGGTCACTGTAAGGATTATATGTGAGAAACTGCTGCAACACCATGCCAGGCACACACCAAGGCATCGATGAGGGTCTGCTGTGACAATGGTGCCAATCTTGCCTATCCTGCCATCAGGGGTGTAGGGCGCAGTCTTAGTTATTTCTCTAACCTCAGCGCCTGGTGCAGCGCTAGGTATACAGAAGAATGATTGGTGAGTTGAAGAAACAAACATAGCAGCAAGGTAAGAGCTATCAAGTCCTTTCTTTGTACAAGAGGTTTTAGCAAAATATTCCAAATTTCTATTGTATTTTTTCTAGTTTTAAAAAATCTATAGTGACAGCTTAACAGGTTTTTTTCACATTGTCTCACATGCTGTGGTTCACATATTGTATTCTAAATGCCTATGTGATCTTCACAGTTTCTTTCCTTTTTTGCCCTGCATTCTATGTGGTTGAGGCATTCACTATTATTAACTGACCTAATTTAACACTGAGGTTTAGCTGGATTACAGATTTTTGGGCCCATTTGTGTGTGTGTCACTCTCTACACTCCAGATTATTTCTCTGAGATGCATACCCCAGAGCAGGAATCCTGGGCAGAATATTTGAGCATCCTCATAGGTCTGGAGTCTCATAAAACTGTGGACTGCTTTTCCAAGTTCTCTGTGGTTTTACATTTCTACATGAATACTGTTTGCTTTAAAACTCCCTTATTAGCAATAGGATGATGACTTTTCCCCCTTCTGACTTATTTATTAAGTACATCTCTATATTTTTAAATTTTTAATTAGATTATTATTGAAAGTAAAGATTTTTCATGTTTGTCTCTTACCTAATGTCTTTTTGGATTAATTCCTCACTTATTGTGACTGTTTACTAGAGAGTCTTTTGGGCAGTGGGTCTAACAACATAAATGCAGTACCCACAAAAATAAAGAAAACAACAACTTTCTCTAGGAACTGAGAGTCCTGGAGGGGCAGACATGCAAACACCAGGACAGCAGGGGAGTACCCACATCCTAGAAGAGAGAAGATGTGGCCAGGTGGGAGCCCAGAAAGGAGACGGGATTTTCTTAGCAATCTCCAGACACAAATAATGCAGATATTAACTGCAAATTTCACCTCTTTACCTTTTTATACTGTAGGAGTTTTACAGAGTAAAGTCTATTATTCTCCTTTGTGGTTTTTTCTGTTGCCTTGTTAATCTTGAAAAATATTCTCTCTGCTAGAGGTCTGGTTCAATTCTATTTTTTTTTCAATTCCATTTTTTCCTTTTGTAGTTATTTTAAATGTTTATCTCTTTACTATCTGGATTTATTTTGGTGTGTGCTGTATTCAGTGAGGATCAAAATTAATTTCTCCTCACTAACTGCTTAATAGTTACTACACCACATGTGAGGAAGAATACATTTTGTTAAGCGATGCCTCCTCTCACAACACACCAACTTCTTAGGTACACTGTAGCCTCTTTCAGTGTTTACCCTCAAACCCATGATGCTTCTATCACTGGAACTTTGAATGTTTGCATCTATAACATTCTTATCCTTCCGGATGTCCTTTAGAATCACTGCTGAGTAAATCCACATACATGACATAATTTTCTGCTAAACTCCCAGTTTGGAGTTTCTGTCTTCAGTCTATATAGCACCTCCTTTTTGTTGTGCATCTACACACACTGGAGACCCTCCCCTCACTTGAAGATTTACATTTCTGGCCATCATTCTCACCATTATTCTTGGTGATTCCAAGAGGATGATTATTCTAACACCCGAGGCTCTTTGTTCGTTAAATTCCTCCTTTCCTTCTGATGACCTTGGCTTCTACTACTTTCACCCTATGGTCATGTCCGGAGACCTTCCATGACAAATCACTGCAATCTGTCTCAATTCCAACCTTCCCACAGGCCAACCATCAGCCCCATGCTCCTAGCTTACCCTCAGCTCCAACAGCACTTTCACACCACCAGGAGCTCCGATCCACTGATGCCGCTGTCCTCCCACCACTTGCCACTCCCCAGTCCTTACCTCTCTCCTCCAACTGAAAGCCCACCACCACTCCCCCTTTTCTTCTCCTCCACCTTCCCAAGTGCCTGACAAAGCTCAGCTTGGTTCAATCCAGGTCTATCCTCCCCTAATGTTTTCTGAGTACCCTCCAATGACACCTTTGGCCCAACAACACCACATGAATATTGTACTTGCCTAGGCCCCCAGCAGCCTCCATACTGTCAAGCCTAGCAGTTCATCTTTGGTCCTCATTTTGCCTCTCAGCAGTATGCAACATGCTGCCTGTTCCCTTTTCTTTCAAACACTCTCTTTACTGTCTATTTTGCTGTTGTTGAGACAGGGTCTCATTGTGTTGCCCAGGCTGTTCTTGAGCTACTGGCCTTAAGTGATTCTCCTGCCTCAGCTTCCCAAAGTGCTGGGATTACAGGCGTGAGTCACTATGCCTGGCTTCTTTTCACTGTCTTAACTGGCCTCTCTTTCTAGCTTCTTTTGCTGGAAGGATGAGTCCAAGGCTCATCCTTGGACTCTACTCCTACCCAGAACCTCATATTTCCAAGACTCATATTTCCAAATGTCTACACAGTACCACTTACACTGGCAAACTTAACATGTCCAAAACCACACTCCGAACATTTCCCTTAACAAACATTTTTGTCCCACCTGCAGACTTCCTGCTTCAGGTTACAGCCACTGCATTCTTCCCACTGTTTGGACCACAGTCCAGGAAGCCATTCTGACTCCTCTGCTTATCTCACATCCCATAGTCAATGCATCAAGAAATCTGCCTCTTTTCACTTCTCACCACTTCTGTGTTATGACCCAGGTCCAAACCACCATCATCTCTCCCAACTTTGTTGGAGCGGCTCCTTTACTGGTCTCCCCAGTGCAGCCCTGGGCCCCCCTACCAATGGTAGACTCCATACTGCTGCCACAGGTCTCAACTCCTGCTGGGCCTTCCTGTTCTTGCTCAGAGAAGAGCCTTCATCACGGTCTTGCAGGCACACTCCCTCCCGCCCCCCTCCAGCTCCCAGATTCACTGGGCACACTGAGCTCATGTCCATGTTCCAGATCCTTCGCACTGGCTGTCCCCTCACCACCGTCCAGTCTTCCCTCAAATGTCATCTCCTCACTGAGCCCCCAGCACTCACCTTCCAACTCCTCACAGAACTCTGCCCTCTGGGCTCATCTTCAGATCTCCTATACTACTCACTTATCAGTCTCTTTTATAAGAACAAGACTCTTTGAGAGAAGAACAGTGCCTGGAACATGTCAGGCACTCAATAAATGTTTGCTATGTGGATGAGTAAATATTAATGTGGGAAAAAAATGTATTTCATTTAGCCTTTCAATTTGTAAAGTCATTTTCTCTCTCAATGTCATTTTATATCTTAAGATGTTTATGATTTAAATCTTAGGAATCTAATTCATTTCTTGGTGAGATTACTTATTTCTGGATATTGATAACTTTTGATCCCACTATGTATAATTCTCTTTTTATCATTAGATATTCTAACTGGCTATTACTAGCAAAAGATAAATAATTTAAAATTATTCTGTTATGAGGCCAATATAAAGACTCCTTTTATTAGTTCTAGGTATTTTTCAGTGCTTTATTTGTTCTAAGAGCTTTATTATCCTATGGTTTTTCTTAATATGAAATAATGTCACTTTCACTTCATTTTTGCCTTGTTTTCCAGTTTCTATTTAACTGTGTTACAGAAATTCCAGAGCAACAAATTAAATGATAGCATACAACGTTGTCTTTTCTTGATATAAACAGCAACCAGAATTAAATGTGAACTGTAATATTTGCCACTGGTTTGAAAAAGACTAAGAACTCTACCATGTTAAGGAAATAGCTTTAGGCCAGCTGTGGTGGCTTGCACCTGTAATCCCAGCCCTTTGGAAGGTGCAGATGGAAAGATCGCTTGAGCCTAAGAGTTCAAGACCAGCCTGGGCAACGTAGTGAAACCCCATCTTTACAAAAAATATAAAAAATCAGCCAGGTATTGTGATGCACACCTGTAACCCCAGCTACTCGGGAGGATAAGGCAAGAGGATCGCCTGAGCCCAGGAGTTCAAGGCTGCAGTGAGCTGTGATTGCACCACTGCACTCTGCCTGCGTGACACAGTGAGACACAGTCTCAAAAAAAAAAAAAAAGGAAAAAGAAAAGAAATATCTTTCTATGGGCATTTTTTAAAAAGCATTTTTATTAGGAACTGGTGTTGAATTGTCTAATATTCCTTTCGAAACACCTAAGATGACTGTGGCCTTTCCTATCTAACTTCCTAGTATGTAAAGTTATATTGATAGATTCCCTTGTACTACACTTTTATTACAAGTCATATTTAATCATAATGAATTACTGTTTTCAAATGTTGTATTTACTAGTATTGTTTCTGACTTTTCTATCTTTACTCGTATTATTCTATGCTTTGTTACATTGCTACTTTTCTTAGGTTTTCTTTTTTTTTTTGAGACAGAATCTCGCTCTGTCCCAGGCGCCTGGAGTGCAGTGGCGCAATCTCGGCTCACTGCAACCTCCACCTCCCAGGTTCAAGCAATTCTCCTGCCTCAGCCTCCCGAGTAGCTGGGACTACAGGCATGCGCCACCACGCCCAGCTAATTTTTGCATTTTTTAGTACAGATGGGGGTTTCACCATGTTGGCCAGGATAGTCTCGATCTCTTGACCTCGTGATCCACCCGCCTTGGCCTCCCAAAAGTGCTAGGATTACAGGCGTGAGCCACCACTCCCGGTCGGCTTTCTTAGGTATTTTCCAGATATAACCCTGGCTTATATCTTCCTTTCCAGAATACATACTGCTATGTTCTGTATAATTTTTCTTAAAAGCTCAAAAAAATGCATCCACAAATAATTTAGGACCAAGAAGCATTTCTGAAGACAGCCTTCCATTTCTTCATTGGTTATTATTCTGTTCAGTTTTTCCTAACCCTACAGTATCAATTATGAAAGTTTATATTTTCTAGAAAATTATTTTTTAGTATTTTGTTTAATTTTTTAGCTCAATAGCACAAACATCATATTGTACTGTTTGATTTTTTTCTGCCTGAGTTAAATATTTTTCAAGATCTTTAACTTCTAATTTTGTCTAGGTTTTTTTCTTCCCAACCCTCAAGTAAATATACCAAGTATACATTTCTCACACTTTGCTTTTCAAAGAGCCAGTTCTTTCTTATTCATTTACTTCTGCTTTTCATTGATTTTCCTTCTTGTATGGGTCTGCCCACACCTCCTACTAGGACCAGTGAGTAAGGTGGTCAACCCTACCTGCTGATCAAGGAGCCCCACTGGGGGGTGGGGCAGGAGAGGGAAGGCAAGGCTCTGGCTGGGCCTGAGACTCAGGTTAGAGCCTTGTAAAAGTCCTCACTTGAGGCCCACCCCATGCTTGGGCACCCTTACAGACATGTGTACCAAGTTCCAGAGAAGCCCAATTAGACTTCACTGTTAGTATTGTGACACAAATAAGGGTAAATTACACAATTGTATTACCAAGCAATAACACAACGGTACCATATCAGCTTCTACAAATGTGGACTCAATCAGTGACCACCAAGATGGGTTTGTTCTCCTTTAAATCATCTATGGAGAATCTGCTAAGCATACACTGCCAATGGATTACAGCTGATGCCAACTCCCACACCTCTCACTCCTGCCCTGTCTTCTCCCAGAGTTCCAGGCTCAGTTCCAAGGTTTCTTGACATTTCCACCCCTACCCCTCAAGCCAGGGGCACCCCTTTCTAAACTGGTAGACGTCCCCATAAGCCTGCTGTGCTTAGGGTCTCAGCAGAGGATACCTCTGACTATCTAGGCACCCAGCCAGGAATCTATCTCTTACCTCCCTGTGTCCTATCCTAAGTATTCCCAAATCAATCTCCTCTTCTCTACCTCAATTATCACAGGCCTAACTCGGGCCCTGACAGTGTCCAACTGAACCACTGGAAGAACCTCCACTTCACTGAGCTGTCACAATGACCTCTCTGTTGTGCTTCAAAGCTTTTAATGGGTGCCTATCTCTTCCATGATAAGGTACACCCTCAGTAACAAGGAGCACAACCTTTCCATGATCCAACCCTGGCACACCTGACCAGCCTCACCTTATGCTGCTCCTTGCCTATCTATAAAGATCCAGCCATAGTAAAATGCCTCCAAATCCCCATTCACAACAAGACTTTCTCACTTATGTGGTACCTCCTGCCTGGAAAATCCTTTGGTCCATTCCTGGACTGGATCACAGTCTCCTGAGTCAAGTCTAAATTGCACTCAACCTGATATACTTGACACCTGAGTGTGTAATGCATGAGCAACCTTCCCCCTCTAAGTTTATAAAATGTGCTTCTTTCCATACCACGTTTACTTAAAACACATTGCAAACATACTCAAGGTCAAGTTGAGAAACTTTTCAATGGGCATCTGTGAGGTGATTCCTGGGGAATAAACAAAGCGTGCTTACGGACTTAATGATCCACTGATGAAGGTATTGTTTCTGTTCAGCAGGACAAACAGCAGAACGTGGGAAGTTCTACATTAAAGATATAAACATATACCCCATGAGGGCACGAGTGGGGAGACTGAATGCAGCTGGAGACAGGTAGTGGAGTCAGTGACTGCCCAGATCTTAAGGAACAGGCAGAGTGTGAATGATTGTGATGGGGAGGGACAGCCCAGACACTGGACTGCTTTAAGGACCAAACAGTCCCCCAGGGGACGTGTCGGTGCTGCTGATCTGACCCAGGTATCAGGGGCCCACCCACCCCAACAGGCAGACCAACTCACCACCTGAATGATTCCGGAGGATGGAGACACACCGCCACTGCTCCACATTGGCAAGCTTACCACTAGAGCCGAACACGGTGCTGGGGCCGATGTACCTGTGCAAAAAAGGGGCCAAAAAGGCACTCATGGAGTGCTCTGGGCACTGCACAGAAATGTTCCCTGCAGCCAGCTTATCAGGGCAGACAGAACAAAACAAAAACTGGAAAGCAATGAGTTGTTGAAAAAAAGGGGCTGATTAGGTAAATTATGATCCATGCACTTGATGAAATACTACATAGCCATTACAAATCTTGCATGGGAAAATGTTCACAATAAGTGAAAGAACCAGGCCACAGGACATCACATACAATATTATACCACTTATTTAAAGGAAAAAACCATATGACATGGATAGCATCTGCGCGTGGAAAATGAATCAGAAGGACACACATCCCAAAATGACAAAATATTAACTGTAGCTTTTTTTTTTTTTTTTTTTTTAGAAAGTTTCCCTCTGTCGCCCAGGCTGGAGTGTAGTGGCACGATCTTGGCTCACTGCAACCTCCACCTCCCAGGTTCAGGCAATTCTCCTGTCTCAGCCTCCTGAGTAGCTGGGATTACAGGCATGCATCACCAGGCCCAGCTAATTTTTTTGTACTTTTTTTTTAGTAGAGATGGGGTTTCACTACATTGGTCAGGCTGGTCTTGAACTCCTGACCTTGTGATCCGCCCACCTCAGGCTCCCAAAGTGCTGAGATTACAGGCGTGGGCCACCACACCAGGACAACTGTAGCTTTCTTTAGGTGGTATGATAATGAGGGATATTTTTTCTTTTGTATTTTTAGTTTTCTAAATTGTATACTAAATGTTATTTATGTTGGTTATTTAAAGAAACAAAATCAACAGTATTTTATTTTTAAGCATCTCGCAATGTATTAAATGGCTTTGACATCTGAGGCAGAGAAACCACATGATCTGCAGCCCCCATTAAAGGAGTCAGAGGAACATCAGTCACCTGGAGCCTGGTGGAGGCAATGCTGACACACCGATGCTCACAGCGTCTGTTAACACCCTTTGCTCTTGCAGAGTTCTTCACAAATCCACAGAAAAGAGTATGTGCTGAGACAGCCAAGTAGGCTGAAGAGACAGTCTCTGCCTCTGCTCTGGAAGCCACAGCCCCAGGGCCATTCTTGGTGAGCAATGGTCCAGGGTCTAGTGCCCCAGCCTAACTGGCCCAGAGACCTGGGAGCAATAGCTTTCCAGGTGATGGTTAGCTCATTTTGAGAGGAGAGCAGGGGCTGCCCCAGGTGGAGGCCGAGAGAGAATAAAGTAATGGCAAAAAGGTTAGACTCTGGATTCCCTGCCTCAGATCCCACCAGAGCACCCTAACTTTTAATCATTTTGTATATTGGGCTTCCATGTGAAATGTCATTTGAAAAAACAAAACTAATGAAGCCACCCACATCAGCGCTAGAAGAGACTAGCCTTTCCTTTTTAGGTGGGAGACTGGATTTCTGTGAGGGGGCACACCAGGCAGGTCCATGGTCTCCTGAATCCCTGGTCAGGCTCCACCTGCTCCTGACCTACATGCACTTCTTGCTATTCATGAGGTTAGGGCTATGGGAACTTCAGTGACAGGGTGGGGAAAGGCGACTTTAATAAAGACCAGCAAAGAAGCTTCTAAAAATAAAATGTGAAGAAAGGAAAATGATGCTTACGTAGCCCGCTTCCACACCATAATCAGTTTGTCATCTCCCCCAGAAGCTAAATACATCCCACTGTTTGACCACCGCACACAGTTCACACATGCTGGGAAGAAAAAAAAATAGGGTGATGAAAATCCAATAGTCATGCCCATTTGCTTTATGTAGAGTTTGGCAAGATGTAAAGGGTTTATAAAAATCTAATCTATCTAATCTATTTAAGGCATCTACTGTGTGAGAGCCCCAGAAAAACAATTCAGTTTAAGCACTAACCTACTTGTGCTATAAAAACAAATTACCAGAACAGTCTGGAGGGGGAAAATACACATTATCTGAAAATCGTTAGTGCTGAATGACATAGTCAATAGAAGGCTTGTTTCCAGGAAAATAAAAAATGATAACCAAATCTCATTATTTCAAAAGGGCCATCTATTGATGAGACATATTTCTGAGTAGAGATTATTCTCAAAAACAGAGTTTGTGCTAAAAAGGGTCAGATGCTTTTTTCTAGAATTTTCAGGTGAGCAGTCTGTTAGAGTATAAAACTCTGACTTCATCTCATCTGTCAAGAGCCAGCCCTTTCACATTCGGGTTTTCCAAACTTGCCAGCACTGCAGATTGATTGACTCTGTGCTTACAAGCTAAGATCAGCAGAAATTCCCCCAGGCCCCTAATGGGCCAGAGCCTCTAAGAGCACTCACAGCTTGGCCTTTGGGATACTTGAAAGATGGCTATCAAAGTTGTAGCCACTACATGGCTTGTGAGTAACTTATGCTCTAGGTCTGAAGACACTGAGAAACATATTGAGAGGACAAGAACACACAGAGCAAAGGAAGGAGCTGATGTCCAAAGGACAGGGAATGTTCACTGAGCATCTCAGGGGTGGGAAACTAAGGCACTATAGCAGGAAAGGAAACCATGACACTGTCTGATGGCCAAAAGGGTCCTGGCAGAGAGCCTCAGAGTGAAAAAGTGCCAACCTGAGATGTTTTGACAAGTTGTCTCTTATACACCCTTCCCCAGAACCCTACTGTGTTCAGGTCGCTGGCCCCAAAGCCCCATGGAATCAGGCAGTAACGACTCATGAGCAGGAAATCACCAGAGGTACCTGCAGACTGTCCAAAGATGGTTCTGTGGGCGGGCCGAGTCTTCTGCCGAATAACTCACCCAGGTGTGCAGCCAACATCTGTGCCTTCAGACAGCAGGCCGAGGGGAGTTACCGCCGCACGGGGCCTTATCTTTCTAATTACAAACACATGTGCTAACCTTGGGCACTCTGCCAACAAGCAAAGCCTGCAAAGGGCCACTCTGTAATACCTAAGTGATTGTCCATCTGGCAAAGCATCTTGGGAATATTTTCATCCTTCTCATCATCCTCCTGGAGGACTGGAGACATATTCCAGATCACAACCTTCCCAGAATCCTGCCCTGGAATGAAGGAGCAGAAATGGCTGAATGTGCAAGGAGTAGAAATTTGATATTAATATTTAATGTCAAATTAAATATTATAGGAGAAGTCCTCACTTAGCTTCCATAAATCATAATTAACTAGATCTATGAAGACTGAATTTAAATTACTAATTTAAGTCACAGAAAAATGATAAGTACTCATGGGGACCAAACAAAGTGGACTTAGCAGTTAGCAGAAGTCAACCTGACTTTATGAAAAGAACTCTGAACTAGCATGAGGAGGGAACTGAGCTCTGGTCTGGCCTCTGACAAGGATCCACCAGGGGTCCCCTAGGTCTTCATCCCTTCCTAGCACCTAGACTCTGACTCCTTGACTCCTCATCTGTTAAATTAGAAGAAGGGAAAGTCAGTGTCGCAGGACCTTTTCCAATCTGTGTATACTCTAAAAAGCAAATAGAAAAGCACACCCTAGTGGGGCTTCCCTCCCCTTCCAGGTGCTGCCTGGAATCCAGGCTGTTCCAGAGCTGACTGTTTTGAGACCTAAATGTACCCTGAGCACAGGAAAAAGGGCTCATTATCTTGTTATCTACCCTTTGCAGTTACCTACAGACAAGAGACCAACCAAAAGAGGGTAGGGCTCCTGTGGTCATGAGTTGATATATCGCTCAGCTGAAAAATATATCCATGACTTTTAGTAATGATTTCTTTTTTTTGAGATGGAGTCTCGCTCTGTCTCTAAGGCTGGAGTGTAGTGGCACAATCTCGGCTCACTGCAACCTCCGCCTCCCAGGCTTAAGTGATTTTCCTCAGCCTCCCGAGTAGCTGGGATTACAGACGCATACCACAACACCCAGCTAATTTCTGTATTTTTAGTAGAGGTGGGGTTTTGCCATGTTGGCTAGGCTGATCTCAAACTCCTGACCTCAGGTATCTGCCTGTCTCGGCCTCCCAAAGTGTTGCGATTACAGGCGTGAGCCACTGCGCCTAGCCTTAGTAAGGATTTCTAAGCTTTCCATCACTGATATCTAACAAAGTTTAGCCCCTCAGTTAATTTTCTATTATAATGGGGCCAAATCCAATGAACATGCCAAAATTACCATGAAGCATGTTTGAAACTGCCTCTTGGCCAATATATAAAAATATTTCCTAAACCAAGGTGGTAAAATGTGTGTCTTCTGGGAACAGGCACAAACCCTCTGATTCCTCCAGCTAAGTCCATGTTTTCTGTCTCATGTGCTGCACCTCCTCCTCTCCAGTACAGTCCACAGCATGCAAGAAGGAGAGAAAGGCTTCCCTGTCCACAGCTTCCCTGCACTCCCTTCCAGCTCCTTGACTCTGGGTAGAAGTATCTGCTGCAAACTCACCCTGCAGCACCTGGCCTGAGGACCTAGAGCTCACAAAGGCACTCTCTAAGCGTTGCCTGAGGAGGCCTGGTTGGAGGGAGGCCCTGCTCTGGGGTAAAGATGCCAGGGGGCTGGGCTCTGCGGAATGCTACATTGAGTTACTATATATACATCTTGGTGTCCAGGCATGAAGAACAGCTCTTATCTTTCCAAATAGAACCATGCAACGTTGCAAAAGATGCTGGCTGAAGCACAAGGGCAATACTAGGAATAACATTTTCGAATGGTATAGGCTTTCTTACTTGTCCACGGTATACTTTCCCTTTAATCCAGCTGAATTCCTTTGACCAGAAAATGGGCCTAATAATTATATGATTGCTTTAGAAGCTTAAACCATCCCCCATCCCCGCCCCCCCTTACCTTTTTTCAGAAGAGAAAAATGCTGACAAAGCCCTTGCCTCTGGGGCTGGGCTCTGCCCACTGGACCACCACCCACTCTCCATGCTCAATACGCTTGGAGATACAAACTGATTTTAGTATTAACTCAATAAACAGAAATTACAATGATAAACCTGCTGCCAAAATACTTACAGAGAACACACTAAAGCCACAAAAGGATTTTCAGTATGGATGTGATGCTATTTAAAATGTACAGTTACGTACATTTTAAATAGCATCACATCCATACTGAAAAAATAGCAAGTATTCCCTCTACAGGTAAATGGAGAGCAGAAGAGCAAGGTGTCAGGGCTGTTAAGCTTTCCCTTTCTTTATTCCATAAACATACCTTGTCCTCCAGTTGCAAACTTGGTCCCGTCAGGGTGAATATCAACTGAAAAAATCGGCTTGCCTGGAAACAAAAAAAAAACATACAATATCTAAATTAGCTTTTATTCACTGAAGTGTATCAAAGTCAAAATTTTAAAATATTGGTTATCTAAGTAATATCTCTAATTTCTGCACATAGGACAAAATAAGAGACTATACATAAATTACCTGTGAGTAAGGGTTGAGTACTCTAAAGGATTCAGTTAAAGTCTCAACTGCTAGAAGCTTCTCCAAACATTAGACAGCCAAAAGTCCAATAGTAGGAGAAAGCATTCCATCACTGAGAATGGCTGAGCCCACAGGATGCCTGGGCATTTGTGTGCCATCTTGCAGGGATTTGTGTTTGTAAAGGCTATGAGCTGTTCATAATTAAAGTTCTGAGTCACAGATACTTAATGGAAAGAGAACACAGCTATAACTCCAGACATCTCCCTATTGTACAGATCTGTACTTGACTGGCAGCCTGGACAGAAGGAGTACTATTTGTCTTTTCCAACTGGCTGGCTGACAGCTGTGCAGGACCACAGCTGGCTGCAACCAAGGAGCACTGCTTGACTTGTCATACTTCTGCTTCCAGACAGCCCTCTTTTATGTTTGTGGTGTGAAGTTCACATAAAGCCTGCCATCTCAGCATCTCCTGTGGCTGAACCTCCTTCACAGCTTGTACTCTATGTTAAATTAGCTGTTCAATTACTCCAGGAGAAAAGACTGTGGCTATTAATTCTGAGAAGCCCCAAAGGGCCCAGTATGGGCCTAGGCTTGCACTAGGAGATCCTGAACTAGCTGGCTGGCTGGGTGGATGGATCAGACTGGCAAAAGCACTGTAGGAGCTTGAAACCCAGTAGACCACAGAAGGGACTCATGCCTGATGGGCATTTGTCCAGCTCCCTTCTTCTAGGCCAAAGGTACAGGAGCTAAAAGTGGCATGTCAGTTGCTGTTAAGTTCATCACCACACCTTCAGCCTCTAGCACAGTGCCTAGTGCATGATAGCACAGTAATATTTGTTCAGTGACAAAGGAGACGGATGACAATAAACTGAGCATCAACAATTGCTGATATAGACAATGGGCTTGTTGCCAAGAGTCTCTTAATTGAACATGTTCTCTCTGTCACCCAAGAGGAGGCAATGTGGACAGAGAACCAGAGTCACCAGCTCTAGAATCAATCAGCAAGCACTGGGGTCAGGGGTGTGTGGGCAGGCAGCGGCTGCCTGAGAATTGTGAAGTCCTGCTAGGGCTCCCATGCAAGTGTTGAAAATCAAATGCTGGTGCCCAAAAGGCAATGCCCAGCATGGGACCCAGGCAGCACCCAGCTGTGGAGAGCCACAATCATGCAGTCAAATCAACCATGAACTTGAGAGAAAATACACTTTCCTTCTTACTAGTCATTATGTAGTATAGGTTGAGTATCCCTTATCTGAAACACCTGGGGTCCATTTTAACCAAAGGGAAATGACAAGAGCAATGTTGCTCCAGTTCTAGGCGTAAGCCTAAAGAGTCTAGCAGTTCAACTTTTGCTCTCTGGAGAAATCTAGTTGCCATGTGAGAAGCCCAAATACCCTGAAACCACCATGTTTTGAAGAGGCCCCAGCTGGCTATACATAGAGCATCGAAAAGCCCAGAAAAGTGAGAATCAAGGCCCCAGACACAGGCCTGGTGAGGTGTTCTATCCCCAAGCTATTTGAGCCATCCCAGCAGATTCCATAGAGCCGAGATGAGCTGGACCTGCTACATCCCGACAAGCTGCAGAATTACGAGCAAATAATAAAGTTGTTATTGTTTTAAGTCAGCAAATTTAGGGGTTTGTCATATAAGAGATGACCCAAAATGACAATTAATTTGCTTTTCTGCTTAAGCCAACTTAAGCTGGGCATTTGTCATTTTGACAAAAAATGTTCTAGATGACAGCCTCAGTCTTGACAGGCAATCAGGGTGGAACATTCCCCTCCCCTTGGAGTACTTTTCAGTTCCATGTGTCTGTGAGATGTTGTATGATAACAGTCCCTTCAAGAAGCACATCGGAAACCCTTACCTGCAAGTCACAGGTCCCCCAGCTACCCAAGAGTACACACAGGGTGAGCAAGGCCATCCTGAGAGCTCAGCTGCACAAGTATCAATTAGAGCCCATGCGCTTTAGATCATGCCCACTCATAGCACTGACTGCGTGTTGTCTCCCTTAGTCTTTGCGGATTTCTACTATGGGCCAGGCATTAGGCTAAGCAATGGGAAAGTAAAGATACATAATCATACACACTCCCCTAGTAAGATGTTCACTGAGGGACACTTCACAAGTAGAAAGCCACCAGACTCGGCCTGCGGCTTCCTGCAGAAATAATAACTGAACTGGGCCTCAAAGGTTGAGTAGGAGTTAGCCAGAAGATTGGGTGAGGGAGAGGAATTTCATGCTGAGGGGATGCACAGCACAGAATCAAGAAATTGCTGATGTGCTGCTGCAGAGCAGAGTGCAGGTATACAGTGTGAGACAAAAGAGGCGACAAAGATGGCCAGGGCTCAGCAAACATCAGTAAGGAGCTCAGACATTGCTCTAAAGGTACTTCTGAGGCAGTGTAATACCAAGGTCACATTCGCATTCTGGCTCCACAATAGCAGTGTGGAAAATGGGGGTGGGGGCCTCACAGCTCCAGGGGAAGGCAGGGATGGAAGCTGCCAACAGGTTAGGGTTTTGGCATTAAACATCCTGGGCTGAATCTTCAGCCCTGCCACTTACCAGTTACAAAGCATTAAGGAAATTATTTAATCTCCTCTAATACTTGTTTCTTAATCTGCAAAAATGTGGAGGACACATTCACCATCACAAACACCTTGTGAGACATATTAAGATGCTGTGTCACATTACTTCTAAGATGCATCCATTTCACATGATCAGGACATACCTTGGTGGAAGGTGTGCCTGGTTCACTGGCACCATGTTTCCTTTCTTAGTGCTGTGCAGGAGATTAGATGAAATATGATAGGGGACTTACACAGACACCAGTGCAGTGCTGGCTCCCCACTTACTCACAGCACTAGGCCTTTCAGTCCCAAGAAAAGCAGTCACTCACATTCCATCAGCAGGAATAAACCTCTTCTAAAGGGCTCTCTGAGGTGGAGCTGAGGAAAGGGACCTTCTGGCTGAGCTAGTTAGAGAACTCTTCCTGTGGCACAGCATGATGATGACAAAGATGAATTCCCAACTACCTCCAGTGTCTGGCCTTTCTTCATAACAGAGACAGAGAGAAAAGACAAATTAACACACCCTAGACTCCAGAGACACCAAGAAATCACCTATCCTTAGATCAACCCCAGATCACAATGTCGTCCCTGCAGAGCCAATACAGTCACCCACTGTCTACTATCCAGAGGTTTGCTGATTTGACAACAGCAACACAAATGCTTTCCATCTGGAAGGGAATAAAGAATACATTAAGGAAGCTGGGATTATGACAGGGCATGCTTAGGTAGAATCATACCCATCTTCACACCAGGGGAAGATTCCTAGAGGAGGCCTAAACAGGGGAACTTAAACTCTGAGCAGACAGAAGTGGCCGGAGGCAAAGCAGAGAGGGCACAATGCAGAACAGCTTGCCCTTCTCTCTCAGCAGTCCCACAGACCTTTGGTTTTGCTCCAAAAAGTCTCTGGGCTTTTATACTATGATAGTTCTTGGGTAGAGCTGATTGGAACACATGTGCATATGTCCTTTTGGAATGAAGCTTGGGAAAGTTGAGTCCTTTGTCCAGTGAATGTTGCTCTTGGGAACACTTTTCCCACACTGCCCAACAGAACTTGGTTTTAACCAATATTGACAAATTTAGAATTAAAAACAAGAAAATGTTTGGAACATTTATTATATGAAGCAATTACAAAACAATATTAAGACATAAGGTGGGGGCTGGCACAGTGGCTCACATCCATAATCCCAGCAATTTGGGAGGCTGAGGCAGGTGGATCACTTGAGGTCAGGAGTTCGAGACCAGCCTGGCCAACATG